AAAAAAAATCAGGCACTCTATAGTTCTCTCAGTGGTCTATTGGGTAAAGCTTGAGTACAAAACAAATGCAGCTTATTTAGCACTAACTGGAAATGTGCATGACTGAGAATGCATCTATTTTTCCACATGAAAATTAAATTTATTGCCTTGAAGACACTCTTGAAATAAAGTGGCTTATTTTAATAGGCTGTCTAGATCCAAATTTTCTCTACAAATAACTGTAACAAGGAAGAATAAGGTTTGAAGAAATGGTGAAGAGACACCTTAACCTTTGTGAGTTTAAAGAGGGAAGATGCTTTTAATAACGCATCTTAAATTTTTTAATTGAACGCTATTGTAATCAGTGTTTTTAGAAACCTGAACTAGGTAGTTACATTGCTTTTCATTGCTTGTGTATGTAGCTTGTTAACCAAGCACTAACAGGCAAACTGGTGTGACACAGTCAATCCATCTCTGGGCAAACCTAATGATTCCAGGCATCCCTCCCTCTTGCTGCAGAAACCTATTTGTGTGCTGCGAGATCATTAAGGAAAGGCTGAAGAGCCCTTTCTTCCCTAGTGACAGAATTCCTAACAGGGCCTTCTGCAGTGATAAGTCTCCGACTGACTACAAATTATCAATACTGATTACCAGATTGCTGCAGTGGGGAGGGGACGGCGTGCTTGGCGCTGCAGGGCTGGCCACACTCCCACAGCCCTTGTCTCCCTCCTCTATTTGCCTCTACAGCTGTCTCATGCCTTGTTCCCAGGGGTGCCACAGCCGGGTTAAAAATGCTTTCAATCCACACCGATTATTCCTCGGGAGCAGAACTCCAGCATTCAAATAAATAAATGCATAATGCATCGGTTACAGCCAGTGCCAGGAGGATTCGGTGTAACTTTGTGCGACGTGATTTAGAGCGGTAACAGAGCCTGCACAGAATGGGAATTCGGATCGGGATTTACTTCTTGGGGAAGGATCATAATTGTGTTGGAGCTCTCTACCCTTATTTTGCGGGATTTGGGTGTGCATGGCTTTAACGGTGAATGATTGTGAAAACTTGAATGCGTCAAACGTAGGTCCTGCCTCATTTCCCCCCTCAAAAAAAAAAAAAAGGGGGGGGGGGAGGAAAATCAAGGAGCAATAGGGTCTGGCTGCTTTCAGCAGCCTGACCCCACGGTTGCTCTCCTTCCCTCGCACCCACACCCATCACTGCGATTTTCCGCCCCCCCCCCCCCCCCCCCCCGCCCAGCCTCCCTCGAACAAAGGGGCGGGAGCCGGGCCGCCGCCTTTCGCTCCCGCCGGGACGAGCCCCCCCCCCCCCCAATAGGAAACCGGGGGGCAAAGGGCTCCCCGGGACCCGGCGGCTCCGCGGCTGCGGCGGGGACCGCGCAGCTCCCGCGGCCGCGCCCCGGGGCCGGGGGGGGGGGGGGGGGGGGGGCGGCGGCTGGGCGCAGGGTGCGGCTTCTGTCCGGGGGGGGAAGCGGGGGGCGGGGGGGGGAGGATGCTTCGCTTGCAGCTGAAAAACGCAAGCTAGCAACAGCCGTGTCAGCTGCCCCCCTGGGAGAGAAAAACAGGGTGGGAACTGCTAGAAAATCCCAGCTATCCATTCAGTGACCTACTTCAGCGCACCCCCCACCCCAATTCTCTTCCCCCCCCCCAATTCTCTTCCCCCCCCCCTCCCCCACACCCCCCCACCCCTCCGGCCAGGCTGCAGGTGCGGGCAGCGCCGGGGCAGCGAGCGGCGGCTGCTGCTCCCCCTCGCCCCCCCCCCGGGCTGGGCGCGGCCGGCCCGCAGTGCGCTCCGCGGCCGCTGCAGCCCCCCCAGGGCCCACCGGCACCCCCCCCCCACCCCCACGGACCCGCCGCGGCGTGGGTGCTGCTTCCTCTTTTCCTCGCCGCACCTCGCGGTTCGTTTCAGGGGGGGAGCGCTGGCGACAGGGACGGGGGGAGGCGTATTTATAGCGGGGGTAACTTTCCAGTTCTTTTTTTTTTTTTTTTTTTTTTTAAATAAATACACATATTAACATACACATATTAATCTTTAAAATAAATGTTTCAAAATTCGGCTGTGCTCATGTGCCGACCTCACCCATCAGTAAATAATTAATCTGATCTCAGGACGTTAAACGAGCCCCGAGATCCCACACCCCCTCTTTTTTTTTTTTTTTTTTTTTTTTTTTTTAATTTTCTCCTGATCAAATAAATTAAAAATGCGTTGAGCGTTGTCTTGATTTTTTTTTTTCCTAAACTCTAGGGACACTGAGAAGAGCACCCAGTGTGGGTCGCGGTCCTAGGAAATCGTGGCAGTTGTACTGGCTGAAGAAAAAGAGATGCGGTTTCTTACCCATTGCTGTTTTAGCCATGGTGGGATGTGCAGGCTCTCAGAGGTGCTGAAGGCAAAGGGGTCCAGCTACAGCAGTGGAGAGAGGGAGAGAAGACTGAATAAGGCACTGAGTCAGCAGAGTGGGGCTGTGCAAGAGAAGGAGCAAGAGGCAGGAGCCCATGAATAATTATCACTTCTCTACCCAAGCAGATTGGCTCTAGAGGTCCCCTGACATGACTCCTGCAGAGCCAGAATCTCCGGGCATTAAATATTGATCCACCAATGGTGCTGGAGTACAAAGTGCCAGAATGCAGTTTGAAATGGAAATCAGTCTTTGAATGACTCTCCCCCCTTGGTCTGGCTTTAATAGTACATTCCATGTCAAATGTTTTATGTCTTACATGAAAAAAGCCTATTGGTGTTGAAGGCTCTGCTGTTGCTACCTGTAAAACATGCACAAATTCATTTTAACACATTTTGTTCCAAAGATATGATAAAAAAAAAAAAAAAAAGGACCAATGGAACTATTTTCTAAACCATTTCAGTAAAACAGCTGCTCAGGTTATTTTTACCTCTGCATCCCATTTTGTACAAATGTATACAGATAACATATAGAATTGTTTTACACTGAATGTTTCTGCATTTCAGTATTTGTTTTAGCATCTCCAGACCTAACCCTGGACACCTTGAACTCTACTAAAACTTGGGGAATGGCAGCTGGACCTGCTCACACTCTCGAAGGGCTCTGGAAAGCCAAAACCTGGGTAAGTGTGAAGAGAGGTCAGTAACCCCTTCCCCGATGAACTATAAGGAGAACCACGGGGTAGTTGTGAGCTCGATTCACTTGATAAAGGGTGCAGAATGGGACTTGATGTGATTATTAAATGAAAGGGGATGGACACATTCTAAGGATTCTCTACATTCATTTTAAGGATTCTCTATCCCCAGCAAGAGGAAAGCCAGTGACATGACTGACAGCTGCTAAACAGATGGGGGTGGCTAACTGAAATTCTTGCTAGAAACATGGGACCTGTTTGTACACCTCCTAGGGCTGGAAGCAGTCACTGGCCTAGCGGAGACAGTATCCAAGACGGTGGCACAAAGAGGATGACACTCCATCTTTACCTTCTCGTCCTTACACTGTCCAGCTGGAGCTCATTCACCTCTCCCGAGGGAGAACCAGCCTTATTAGCAAAAGCTTGCAATGACAAGAGGCTCCCCACACTGTTTGCAGACAGACAGGCACAGGGCAGATTTTCCGCTTGGCATTTGGAGAACACTCCAAACCCCCGTGGAGTTGTTTCACGGTGTGTATGGGTGGGTGAGGAAAGCAGGAGAGCGGGCAGAGGTCTCCAGGGTGGAGCTGTGCCCTCCCGGAGCAGGCAGGGTGTTGGCACCCTTCTTCCTTCCGCGGTGCCATTTGCAGCGTGCTGTCACTAACTGTCACGCTCTTTCTCTGTGCGTGCTTCCCTAGAACAGGTAAGGCAGGATTATGCTTTTCAAGCTTCCTTGAGGTCAGTAAACAGCATTGAGTAAAGCAGGGCCCTGAGCATGAGTCTGAGGCCAGGTTTCTCTTTTGAGTTGCTCCTGATGATTTCTGAATTGCAGGAACTAGTTGTGTTGGTTTTTTTTTTTTTTTTTTTTTTTTCTTTAAATGAGAATAGTAAAATCTGGAGGTGATTTGGGGGAGGGAAACATCCCCAAACTCCACACCGGGCACAGAGAGAAGTGTGTGATCGACCCGCGTGCGAGCTTCCCTGCTGAGGCGGCTTTGGTCGGTTGGCGGGAGGGGGATGAGGCAGGTTTGGTGGGGTGCAGGGGGTGATCTGCCCTCCTGGAAGGCCCTGCCCTCCCGGGGAGCAGGCAGGCAGCCCCCCGCGCCCGGCCGCCTTTTTGGGGTGAAACACTTGAGGGCCTTCAGCTGTGTGACTGCGTGGGGGGGGGGGGGGGGGCGGGTAGGGTGAGGAGGAGGCGGAGATCTAATTACGCCGGGATGGCTGTGGCGAGACTAGCTTATCCCTAAAAGCAAACGGTGAGAAACGACTGAGTGCTGCGCATATTAGGGCGGAGGGAGGGGGTGGACGCCTCACAGGGCTGGGGAGCCTCGCCCGAACCGAAAGACGCCCCCCCCCCGGCCCGCAGCACCCCGGGAGGGATGGCCCTACCCCGGGCACTCCGGCGAATGCATGCCGTGGGGGGGGCTGGCACGGCGTGGAGCTGCGCGGCGCGGCGCGGCGTGGGGCGGGGCGGGGCGGGCGGGGGGTGCCCGGGCGCTGTCCGTGGTGCTGGAGGCGGCGGCGGCGGCGGCCCGGGCGGGGGGGGGCGGGACGAGGAGGGGGTGGGGCGGGGTTAGGCGCGGTAACGCCGCGTTGCGTGGGGGGGGGGGGGGGTGTGTGTGTGGGGTGTGGGGTGTAGCTGTGCTCCCCCCCCCCACCCCAGCGCTCAGCCCGCAGCGGGGGGTGGAGGGCGGCGGTACCGGCTCGGCCCGGCCGCTCCCCGGGGACACCGGGACAGCGCTGCCGGCACGCAGCCTGGCTCGGCGGGTCCCCACCCCCCGCCGCGGCACCCGGCACGCCCCGCAGGCGGCAAACCCGCCCTGGCATCTGTCTTTTTCTTTCATTTTTTTTCCCGCCCCCCCCCCCTTTTTATTTTTTTTTTTTTTTTTTTTTTTTTTTTCTCCGAGCTAAACCGGCAGGCAGAGCGGGAGGTTTCCCGCAGCCCCGGCCACCTCGGGCTCTGCGGTGGCCCCGCGGGAGCGGCGTTTCCCCGGTGCCCGGCGGTGCGGGAGCGGCCCCCCCGGCCCCCCCCCCGCAGCCCCAGCCCCGGGAGCCGCCGCGGGTTTGGCACCCCAGGGAGGGGGGGGTGCCGAGAAAGCGGTGCGACAGAAGGCAGGGGCATCACTGTCGTGTCAAACCCTCGGCGTATACGGGAGCAGTTACTAGACACTCCATACATCATTTCTGATCCGCTGCCACCTTCTAATGTTGTGTTTCGCATAAATTCTAGAGGAGCATGACCTGAGCTCCAGCACGTCCTAGCGAGGCTAGGACTTGTCTTCTTTCACAGGCTGGGCCTTTTCTTGATTGGCAAGAAAATTAATTTCCAGCCAGGCCTACCACCAGGTCTGTGGATGAAGGCGCTGTAAGGATGTGCTGCTGAGCAAAGCGCTCCTTAACTGCTTCTAAATAGCTGTGGGATATAACTGGGACTGTCATCCCACTTTTGCTGGACACTTCTTCTGTGGCCTTGGCCAGATCATTGAAAAGCTTTTGTTCTTTTTTTCCCATTTGTTAAAAAGGATTTTACTTTTTACCCCGTTGCAGGCAAGGGAGAAGGGAGGTGATTCTGGGAAGATAAATGTTCATGCAGCACTGTGAAGACTGTTGTTGCTAGGTAAATTAACTGTATTGGCACTGAAATAATGCAAGTGGCTGAGATGGGAGTAGGTCATGAATCTCTTGCTCTCTGCCTGTGCTTTGTGTCTCTGCTGCATAGGCTGGCAGACTCTCGGGCCTTGTTTAGTTTTTTTTAAATAACTTGAGAAATTCAGCTTTTTCTTACTGACTTTTAGGAGACTTGTTTACACTTAGCCTTTGTCATTAGGAAGTATTATGGATCTTATTTAGAGCAGCTGAGTTTTTTTGTTTAACTTGGTCACTCCTACTTCTTCTCTAGGCTTCCCAGAGCGGTTTCTCTTTGTGTCTATGCAATATAAAAAATAATTAGGAATTAGTTCATGATTAGCTTGTTTTCATCCTTATTGCCTCCAACCCCTCCCCAAAACCTATGGTAAAAGATATTATTCAGACTGTATAAAGAAGCCCTCAAAAGTCAGAGAAGACTGGTGCCTGTGAAACCTCAGTTACCCTTCCTATCCATATACATCATGATATAGTTTTTAATGATATACTTACATGCTATTTTTTTCCACCAGATTCTGCCTACATACATAACAAGATGGACGATACTCCCTTGGTGAGCACTATTTGATATTTTGTTTTCATTCTGTTCTCATAAAATGGAACCTTGACACAGTCCTCTGTGCCCTTGAAAGTATGGGTACAGTAAAGATTTTCTTGCAGGAATGTTTGCCAGAATATTTTCCTAACATGGGTGCAAAAATCTTTTGTCTAGCCTTATTCTTCACAGCAGGTTAAGTATAGAATAGATGTTAACATAGTTTGTGTATCAGTAAGCAACTAAACCCTGCATATTTTAATGTGCAATTTAGAGAGACTGCAAACATATACATGTGTGATTTTGTAATTTTTGTAATGTTTTGGCTCTTTTTGTAAGTTTTTCTGATATTTTCTGCAGAATGCTATAAATATACCAAGCAGATGAAAAGATTAGCTGTGTACTGAAAACATATGGAGAAAGAAAGAGCACTGATACATATACGTAACTGTGTTTTATATCTGAAGCATGGTCCTCATTTTCTTCTTGAATAGTATTTTTCTAATCCCTTCATTTTCCTAAGTAATATTCCAGTTGTAGAGCAGTAACGTGCTGTTATGTTTCTATTAGCATTTCTCCACTTCTGAAATTGTACTTTTTGGCTGAACATTGCCTATCTAAAAATCATCTTGTTAAAGCTTGATAGTGGTTTGATAAGCCAGCTGCAAACAATGTAGCCATTAGTGATTTCAGTTGCTACTCATTCCACATACAGGTTGGAATAGTGCAGCTTTACTGCTCGCCTGCTTTCATGCAGGCTTTTATGCTCGTGTGGCTGCACGTGGTGTTCCTTTCAGCAGCATTCAGGATCACCGTGGGGAAGCTTAATAATGGTATCACGATATTTGCGGATTTTTTTTATTTTCCCCTAGAAATTACTAAGCAGTGGCTTAATGCTAACATGGGGATTGTACATAATGAGATCTCCCTCAACACCCCTGTCCATGAGACGTGAGCTGGAGCTGTGCAAGGCTGCGTGCTGGGGGGGACTTGGTTGCATCTAGGCTCTGTCCCGTGCTGCAAATACATAAACCACCATAGGCCTTGTGGGGAAAGATGGGGCAAAATGAGATGGAAGCCAATTGTATGATTCTGAATGAGGACAGCATGTTTGTGAGACCATGAGAATTGTTATATGGGGTCAGAACAAGGAGCCATCTAACCAGTAGCCTGTAAATTTTATATCACGCCCTTCCAAGGCCCCACCGTGTTCTTGCCTTGGGTGAACGGGTCATCAGCAGCTCTTAGGGGCAACTTGGATGGGAATCTCAGTGCCTGTGGGCCTGCTTTGGTTTCTCATTCTGAGCCATCTCCGGGTAGGCCACCACTGGGCAGTCTCCCCACACGCCTGCGTACATTCAGAGCGCTTGCAGAACTGCTGTTAGAGATGCTCAGCTTGATTCCCTCTGTGAATCTCTATTTTCTACATTTATAATCCTTTGACTCTCCCCTGCCTTCTTGTTTCTACTTCCATATTCCCTTGCATTTGTTTTCCCTAATTTCTTTCCTCTTGAGTTCACTGTTCACAACAAAAGCCTTAGGGTTTTTTGTGTTGGTTTTTTTTTTTTTTTTTTTGTTTTGTGTTTTTTTTTGTTTTGTTTTGTTTTGTTTTTTTTTTTTTGTTTGTTTGTTTTGGTTTTTTAGGGGAGAGCTGACACTTGTCCCTGAAACAGGAAACTGTGTAGGAAGAGTAGCCACAAACACAGGCGTAGGAGTAAGGCAGCAGAGAGCAATCATATATGATAGAGCTCCCGGTATTCTCCCTGTGTATGCAGTTTGAGGCCTTCCTATTGTCTCTATGCATTTAGTAACTGTTTAGTAGTCCAATCTCTCTGTGTTATCACTGGCTGTATGTGAACGCTGGGGGAAGGCTGAGAGTAGAAGCGCATGCTGTACCTCTTCAGGAATTGTTCCAGCCACAGACTGTTCTCAGAAGATGCCTGAACCTGATACTGTTTTCCTTCTCAGTGACCCTTGGCAGATCTTTCTTTCTTCTACAGCGTCCACAGTGTCCCATGGCAGTTGGTTCCACAGGGCAGCTCCTTGGTGTGTAAAGAGACATTGTCTTTTGCTTATTTTAGGCATGTGTCCTACCAAGACCTATTTTGTTTATCTGGGTGTGAGCTACTAAGTGTGCTTTCAGTCCTAGAATCATAGGGTTCTTCACTCTTTAAAGTAAAAAGAAGCAAGAATACCAGATCCAATTCTCCTTTAAAAAATGGGAGGAGACAAGTAGATGCTGGAGAATGAGTTAGATTAGGCTGATGGGGGACCGTGCCATCTGCTGCACCTGAGAGGTTCACAGTGAAATTTTCCTAGAAAAACAAAAGTGTCAGTGTTAGGAAGATCTATATCACAAGTCATTTCAAGACCAGGAGGCCTAGTTTGAAAGTGTCCTCCAAGTCCACCTATTGAAATGAGGTGTATACTGGCACGTTCCTGATTTGGTTTCCTATCTGTACCTTTCTGAATAGTAAAATGTTTCTAAGGTAACAAGAAATCAACAACAAAATTATGCTGCAAAGTGCCTAATTCACTTTGCTCTGTCTTCCTTACTGTTTGCAGTGAGAAAGTACATGACTATTTTAACTTTCTTTTGCTGTTTTTGCTCTTCTTCAGATTGATTAAATTTCTTATGACTGTTGGCTGGTTATCAGCTGTTTCATCATGGCTTTTGTATCACACCCCTTGGAGAAGACCAACAGACCATTTGATACTCCAAGTATATTCCAGACTGTTTTTTTCCATGTTGTAAGGTGTACCCTAGATACGTGTGTTTTAGGACAGTAAGTGTTATGTTATTGTTAACTCTCAAACCAGAATTCAGTTCTGGATATCAGGATCATTATCAATTCTTTTTGCAACTAAAATTTATTTTGACTAACTTGGTGATTTATCACAGTAAAGACAACAGATGATGATAAAGTAAAAATATGCTGAGGATAGATAAACTTTGAAGGTATTAGTTGCATTTGGGTGAAACTCACACTTAGAGGGAAAGAGTAGCAGAATACCACTTTGAGAATGAAGTGTAGGAGAACTTTTTTCTTTCTAGTCTTGCTCTTAACCCATTAAAAAGTTTACAGGAAATTTCATTTAACAACTGTTTTTGCTCACAACTTTGCCAGACTTCATTATCTTAATCTGACATTTTCAATGTTGCATGCCCATTGATTATTGTTTGTGTTTGAAAAAAGTCAGCTGAGATGTCTTAGCTGGTTTTGAGGATAAATTTTATGCAATATGACAATGTTTTGCTGATTCTGGTGGTCTTTTCTTGGAAATGAAGTAGCATGCCTTATTCTGCAGTTGATAATTGAAATCAGGCAGGCAACTGTTTTGGTAGCAGATAGATGGACTGTCTTTTCACTGTAAAAATCTGCTTAAACTTGGCAACATCTTAATGCTTTAGAAAAAACTGTGCTTTATAATGCTTTTGGAGACACTTGCTAAAATCTTAACAGGTAAAAATCTCTGAAGTTTCTCTCTTCACTGAGCATGTTTATTTTCTTTTTTTTTTTTTTTTTAACAGTGTCTGTCTCATCTTTTGGGAGTGAGACCTGGTCAGGGAAATAGGAAATGGGATGGACTAAATGCTAATTATGAAGAACACAAAGAAAGAATTACAACTGGAGTAATGAGGGAAAGCTGGGATTGGCAGGACAAAGAAATTGCAATGAAGAAGCCTTTGGGAGCACGGATAATTAGGGTTGCAGGAACAGACCAGGGAAAGAGTAGGGTTGTGAGACAGGGCCTGGCATTTGTTTGCTGAAGAGATGAAAGACAGGATTTGTGGCATAATGTGGGGAGGTGGTTGCTTGGCAACCTTAATTCAGTCCCCTTATGATACATGTGTGATCAGATACTGTTTTTATGCAGGATGGACCTGCTCTTAGGGACGTACTAGGGCTGTGCAGGAGAGATGAGTGATGCCCGCGTGACTCCTGTCTCATTTATTGCTTGAGCTGGTAAATCATTAATGAAGGAAGCAAGGGGGGGCAAAAGGGGGGTCATGTGACTGAAACAATGCACTGTTGCACTGGACTTTTCCTATCTAGTGCTAACATCACCACTTAAACCAGTTCTGTGATCTCTCTCTGTGGAACCTCTAATAGTCTAGTAGCTTCTAATTATCTGATTTTTCATGACTACCTTTAAAGTACTAAATCCAGTTTGTTCATCAGTCACACCTGTGACTGATGCTGCAACCTCTGTGTTTGAAATATAGTTAAATACTTTTAAATTACATCTATGATGCCTCAGACAGGACATCTAAAACCAGTGTGTACCTCTGCCTTTAATTCTTCTGTTCCTCCACACCCTGTGTTTTAGACAGCAGTACTACCTTTTCTTTGCCACTGTGGATTTTTATGAAGCCAAATTAATTTGCATTTGTGCAGCACTCAGTTATTGAAGTGATGAGTACCATTGAGAAGCCCTGGAGGAAATTAATAATTCTGCAATCATAACGCAATTGAATAATGGGCAGTAAACAAAGCATGGGCCACACAGTGAGTTATGAGGTGAAAGCAAAATATTGATTAGCTGTTTGGTGAATGAAGCAGTGGTCCTATGCAAAAATAGTGATTAAAGACTGTGACAAAATACATGTATGCCAGATGTTGTTATCACCCTTGTACAAGAGAGATTTCCAGGAGGGGCACTAAATGATGTACTGATGCCCCATTTCCTATTATATTCTGTCTCTAGGGCAGGGTCATTTGTTTGGATAGTATGGAGTTTCAAGTTTGTGATGAGCACTTTAGTGGCTGTCCTCCTGTTTTAAATGTGTAAGAGTTATGAGTGTACTCTCTGCTCAGATAAAAGGTGACAGAGATTTTGGAGGTTCTTGTCTCTTACAGGAGTTAGCTCCACACTATGTCCTACATAGTGAGATACACTGCTCATTGCCTCTGACTAGTATGGTTGGGTACATTAAGGGTAAATAGGGCTTAGGCAGAGATTTAATTGGTGTCATGGAAGGTAGTGGCAGTGCATTAACACCTTGAGCCTGGTTG